TCTTGGCATCTGGCAATGGCGTCTTGGGGACCTTCCATGTTGTCCACGCCATGCGGACAGCCGGGAACAATTCAGACGATACTATAGGATTTTGGCGGGAATATGCTGCCGCTCTGACGGGCGCGATGGCTGCCGATAGGAGGGCTAGACTCGCGTCTCTGCGAGGGCCAACATAACATGTATCGACGCTTGATTGATACCATTCCAGCTGGCTGGTTTGGACCAGCGCGGGCTGTTGCCTAGTTGACAGAGCAACTGGAGAAGCAAGCGTAATTATAGATATACAGCTGCGAAAACAGATGCTTCCAGGGGTATATTTAGTGACTTTTAGCAGCTGTTTTAACAGAGAAGAGAAACAACAAAGTATTCATGCTACCTTTCTTCCCACATTTCCAACACCTGTACCCTTGACGGATATTATGAAATCCCCAGTCTCATCGGCTTCATCGTCAACCTCTCGTATACCCCAACTGCTGGCGCCAAACGTCTTGAGATCCCGCGCCAGTTTTATAGTCTCCTCCCTGCCCAGGACTTCCCTCCCCAGTCTTAATCTACCGACATCTTCCGAGCCCATAGCCATCAACGTCAGCACAGTAGATGCCGACGCCGCACTCACACAACCCCCCTGGGCAATAACCTCCAACAGCTGATAAGCACACTGCGTCCCAATATCCTCGGGTACAACCATACCCCCCGGCGGAGCCACAACATCAGCAGCGTACAACACTCCATCCGCGCTAGACTCGGCAACAAGACTAAGTCCAAACCCGATACCGATCTTTTTCTTGCCACCAGTCTTGGTATCACCCACCAACGGGGCAGGGTCATACTGCGCCGCGACATGGACATCCGAGACGAGCGGGTTCAGCACCCCCCTCGCGGCCGAGATCATTCTTGCGTTATGGCTCGCCGAGACACCGGTACAATACGCCACTCCACGAATGCGCCGTATCCTGCCTGGCCGTCGGTTGAGATGTAACGTCTTGGGGAGACGGACCTGACTTGCGAATCGCATCTCGACAACACCACCACCGCCCACTCCGTGCGGTCCTGGGCAGGAGCGGGATAAAACTCGGAGTTCGATTCTCGCGGGCGGGATACCGAAGAGGCCGTATAAAGGCAGGACAGCTGTGCGGAAGGTGTCTACTGATATGTCGCCTGTGCCGTGGGTTGCAGACGTGATCACGCCTGGACCAGAAAACCGCACATTCATGTGGGCTTTTGAGAAGGGCGCCAACAAGGCGAGAGGAATGAGGAAGTAGCTGATTCCCCGCGTGTTTCTTTCTTCGATCGTGTGTTCGATGACATCCCCCGCCGCGGAGGCGTTCACGCCGGGGACGGTTCCTGTTATCAGGCCCGGTTGGTAGGCCAATCTTGTGCTCGTCCGGGAGAGGTCGAACAAGCTACCGTTTGTGACGGACTCGAGGAGCCGGATAAACGAGACCTCGTGCGGCGCGAGGCCGGTGTGGGTGGAGGAGATGTTGCTGCGGATTTCGTCGATGATGATTGGTTTGCCGGTTAGAGTGGATAGGACCAGGCGCTGTGTGAACCCTCTGTGGCCTTTGAATCGCAGGAATTGCGTCTTTTGGTCTGCCATTTTGGCGGGTTGTGTACTTTTGCGACAAAACCGATGTGTTGGTTGTTGTGATCTGTTTAGTTTTGCGCTGCTCGATTGTGAATGTCGAACCTGCAGGGTGGGTTGGATTGGAATTTTTAGAGGGTCTTGGATAATTCTGCCAGGCGGTATAGGGCTTGGCGGTGCTTATCGGTAGGGGTCTCGCGCTGATAAGGGGAAAAGTTGCTGGAATTATAGGGGGGTTCTGATGGAAGCTGTCTCCCGTGCAAACGTGCAGCGTAATGTCATTAGACGAAAGAGTATCTGCCAATCTCACCAACAAACTTCTATCTTGTTCATATTAGCACTTGCGCTTCGTTTCCTCTGTTCTGCTTTTGCATGGCTCCGGCATGTAATCGAATACACTAACTAGATCTTTACACCCTCTTTTCCTTCACTTTTCGTCTTCTTTCCATGCCTCCTCGCGCCCCCTTTTCCCTCGATCTCAGTCGAACCAGCTATGTCTGCCAGTCATGCGTCGCAAGTCTCATAGGCCCCAGTCCGCAGTTATGGCTAACGCGATCCGCCTCCACCGTCTCACGTCGAGGTGCGCGGCCACTGGGACGACCTCCAGTACGAGGACCGAGGCCGTCGAGGGGCACGAGGACTGTCCGGCCGAGCCCGGCTGCTGCTCCTCGACCTAGCACTCGCGCTGGAAACGCAGACTTTCAAACAGAATTATTAGAGACTCTGGCAGCAAGCACCCAAAAGGATGCGATCCCAACGACCCTAACCGAAGTCGATTCCACTGCCACGGATACGGACCCCGACATCCGCTTTTTCGATGCAGATGAAAATGGCCAGATTCAGCAACTTAGAGATAGTAAAGAGTTTGGCAAAATCAGTGGCGGTCTCGATGCCGAGATAGAAAAGACAATCAACAATCTGGAGGCGCAGATGGAGAACACGATCGAGCTGCTGAATCGCATGGAGGAGGAAGGAGATCCGGACAAGGCGGAAGAGCTGCGGAAACAATTCAAGAAGACGTTGCGGGACCAATATAAAGGCAGGCTGGGCCTAGAGGCGGAGGACTACAAGGCCTTGCGGATACGGGGGTTCAGTTCGCGGCAGAAGAACATCGCCGCGCTCAACAAGTTTTTGGCCCGAGAGAGCCTGGTGATAGGTGGCGAACCGAAGCGCAAAGACTTGCAAGAGTGCTGGAAAGCATACTCACTCGCTCGGAAGACCCTATCCTCTTCTTGGGATTGTGTGCCCAAGGAGGTTTGGGATTTCCTGTGGACGGTGATATCCTGGAAAGGGCCTGATAATCCCAACCGTATGAGCCACATTTATCAGTTTACCAAGGACATGACGGCTGCCGGTATTCCACTTCGGGCCTCGCAGCAGCTTCTCGCGATCGAGGCCATGTTTATAGAAGGCTGGGAAGACGAGGCTATTGACGCCTGGAAGAAGGCCGTCGTAACGCTTGGGGCAAAGCCCGAGTCGTTTGTCGGCTATTGGGAACTTGGAGCTAGGATGCTGTGCATTCGTGGCGATAGCGATCGTGCGCACAGAGCCGTCGATACTCTGCTTGATTCCGAGCATGAGGTTGACCCACGTATTCTTTTGCCTCTGATCCGGGCGTATTCCAAAAACGACGCAACCCAGCCGCTCGCATGGCAGTCTTACCAACGACTGAGGGAGCTCCTGAACTCGGAGATGCAGATTGAAGACTACGACGACATCATTGCGTCCTTCCTTGCTGAGGGCTGCGTTGAAGACGCGCTACAGGTATTTGTCGACATGATGTTCTCGAATGTCATCAACATCCGGGGGAAGAGCACACTTCCGCTGTCTGTCGGAAACCATTTCTTCATCGGGAAATGGCTAAAGAGATTAATAGGAGCAGGAGATCTGGACGGCGCATACAAGGTGGTGGCATTTCTCCGCGAAAAAGGCGTGGTCCCCTCGCCCATTCAACTCAACGGTCTCATAGGGGCCTGGCTACGGTCAGGCACTACCGAGAACCTGGACAAGGCGGAGAGAGTAGCATGGGACATGATTCGCTCTCGGATCACTTATGTCCAGCTACGACGACGTGGACAGCTGCTGCACGGCCCCAACTTCAAGTTCTACGATCCGGTCAAGGACGCTGATCTCCATGTTGCCGACGGGGCCATCAAGATGGGGACCCGGGCCTCGCTCGAGACATTTGCCATCCTAGCCGAGAACTACTCGACCCGTCGACTTCACGGCAAGGTCGAACAGCTACTACAATTCCTGAAGGAATCCGAGCTCGGCACGACAAGCTTCATCATGAACCAGGTGATCAAATCCTACACGCGCGACAACAACGCGGCAAGGGCAGTCGAGGTCTACCACGAAATGACAGGCAAAGGAAATGTCCGCCCGGATTCGCATACCTTCCTGACGCTCTTTGACTCTCTCGCCGTCAACAGGGTCATCACCATCGACGAGTACGTCATGGACGAGGACCTGCCCCTGGCGAGGCAGTTCTTCAGGGACATGGTCGATGCCGAGTGGAAGTTCGAATCGCTCGACACTTACCATTTCATGCCGCGGCATATCCTATTCTCGATGCTCAAGACCAAGGACTACACGGGCATGATCGTGGCGGCCCGGGCTATGCGGGCCTTGTTCGATTTCATTCCCCAGGAGGCGCTGCTGGTCGAGCTCTGCACGGGAACGCCCAAGCTACGCGTCATGACGGATGCGAACCTCGAGATTATCATGGAAGGCACGCGCACCGTGGCCGGTCTGATTGATCGCTATAGAAAGCAGATGACATGGTCTGGGGTGGACATGAGTTCGCCGACGACGGACCAGAGAGCGGAAGAGCTCTCGGTTGTGCTGGAAAGGCTGGTCATGGTCAAGGCGGATGCGAAGGATGCTGATCCGCGGGATGTTGAGCCTTTGCTGGAGGAGGCTGCTAGGGAGATGGGCGTGTATGATATTATTTTTGAGAGGGACGAGGAGAGGGTTGAGAGGAAGAGGAAGATTTTTGGACATCATGTTTATAGGGCTGAGGAAGAGTCCAAATGAGCCTGACCAGGTTGTAAGGATTTAGAGGTTATGTATTATATTGTACATGTTGTATTATAGGATGTCTACCTGATCATCGGGAATGTACAAACAACCAACATCAATGAGGAAGTATTGTACTGTTCCACTCGATATTACCAAGTCTGTTTCCTGGGGTCCGTTCCAAGTATTTGAGAAATACAACAAGCTCACGTGTTCCATGGTGTTTAGTACTTTCGGCCATGGGGCATCGTTCACTTCGGTTTCTCTCAGATAAGACCAGTATGTGGCGTTTACCAACGCCCATCTCCCCACCATCAACAAACCTTCTTCCGGACGTGAGAGGGTATATATACAACGTTAAGCATAGGGCTAGTAAGGAAAAGCCACGAAAAAGGCTATAGCCCCCGTAGCTCAGTGGTCAGAGCGCGGGACGCGTTGTTCTGTAGCTTTCCAACGGAGCAGCTTAGAAATTATCAACGCGCCCGAGGCCAGCGGTTCGAATACGCTCGGGGGCAGCCTTTTTGCTAGTTGGCTGACCAAACAAACCCTTACTTTGATACGGAAACCATTCGGAGTATTATCTCTAACAAATGTTAGATGATTTGTACCAAAATGAAACAAGATGACAAATACTAATCGTAGATGAGTCCCGTCATGCTTTCTCATGGCAAATTCCCCTTCATTTTCTCAAGACTATATATGTATGCATAACCTTGATAGCTGGAGATTTCATCATACCCAGAACTGGCGCTCTTCCACATCTATACATGTCGTCGGTAGACTCAGTCATGATCCTCCTCCGTCACACCAGGACAGCCCTCCATCGCCTCATCGGGGTACGTAAACTTGCACCAGAAGCAATACCGATGCCGTTCCCTCAGGTACATGACCACCTTGGCCAGTTTCTCGGCTGTGGGGAGGGCTTCAAACGCAGCTAGCTCCTCGTCTTCTTCATCAAGGTCATCTGCCGTGACGTAGATTGTCGATGCTCTGTCCTTCCCAAGTGCCATCTTGTCGTCGTCGTCTTGCTCGTCATCAACATAAACAGGTAACCGTGACGACAGAGGTCCAATACTGCTGCTGCTGCTGCTCTGCTCCAGGTCGTGTCTCATCCTCCGATCACGTTCTGCCTCCTCGCGGGCCCGGACCAGACCGCGGTAGACCACGGGCAGGGACTTGAGCGGGCGAGACGAGTTGGGCACCACTGCCTTCTTTTTCGCCGAGTCCGTTTCATCATCCCTCTTTTCCAACGACCCCATCTCCTCATCCATCTGCGCAGCAATCTTCTGCGCGCCCCTCAACTGCCCTTCCAACCTCGCCTCCTCCCTCTCAAGCCTAACCCGCTCACGATACCCAATCTCATCAACCTTGACCTTTTTCGCAGCCTCCCCCGCTTGCTCCGCCATCTCGCGTAACTTTCTCTTCCGCTCACTCTCAAGGCCAATCCCCTCCCGCCCATCCTTGACGTTGATCTTGATCGGCTCAGCCTTGGCGTCCTTGTTGGCTTTGCTCCCTAACGCTCCCCCGGTAAAGCCCATCTTGGCCATCATGGACAATCCCTTGTTCTTCTTGATGGCGTCGGGGTCTGTGCTCAGTAGTGACTTGGAGAGTGCGGCTTCCCGACGGGCTTCTTCCTCGGCTGCGATTTCAGCTTTGGATTTTACTCGTCCGCGGGCTTCTGCTTCGCGTCTTTCTCGCTGGCGCCGTTGGAGAGAGGTTTCTGGACGGCGGGTGGTGCTGGGGACGTCGTCGGTGAACGTCATTTTCATGTAGTCTTCTTCTTCTTCTTGGTCGTCGTTTGAAGTGGACTGGTTGACTGGTGGGGTTGTATCTTTTGTTTTGAATGGCTTCATTTTGTCGTTGAATTGTGAGTGAGTCGGTGGGCGGTTTAAGAGAATAAATGTAATTTGAACGTCGGTACTTTGCTCCACTGATTGTTGAGGTAAGAACGTGAGACGAAGCAAAGATACTTTATAGGGTTGTCGTGAATTTATCAGAAGACCAAGTGTATTCAGTTGATGCGAGATTAATTGTCAGGCGAAAAAAAAAATGTATAAAGTGAAAAAAGACGTTCCTAGGCGGCACTTGGAAAGCAGTTGTGAATGAAGTTGTGCTTGTCACAGCACGAAGACCTCAGATGTGGGGCTCCAAAAGGTTGCCAGGAGGACCATCCCAACAACGACAACATAAGAAAAAGGAGTAAAATTAAATTGTTAGGCAGCGAATCAGTTTAATCTAAAGTCTGTATGTTCTAATGGTAGTACTTTGAAAAACCTGATGAATTTTTATCGCCGCGTCGTTCGGCTTCCTTGAAAGGAGCATTGAACTGAACGAGTTGCATTGTCTGTCAGCAACGAATGACGAGATGCAAATGTGGCCTGTAGCTGTAGCTTGCACACTATCCTGATGGTATGACATATCAAAAAGTGCTGAGAACAGTAAGTAGTCCTTTGGTCCATTCCCTTTCATACAGGGACTATCTCTCATCTCTCGAAAATGCTCTGATAGACCGTCACCGAGGCAAGCCTCTCACCCTTGACAGTCCCGTTCCAGAGCGACCTACAAGGCACGACGGGGACAGACGACGAGATCATCTCCGCCTGAGCGCCTCGGTATACACCCGCATCCACGTACCTCACCACGATGGTCGGCCGTTCATCAGTCCAATCGTTACCTGATGACGTCCCGCGAGTACCCAATCGAGCGATAGCTTCCCTAGCAAACTGGTCTTGCTCCTTGCACGACCATTCCCGTGCTATAGACTGCGAAACAGACAGCGCAGAATCCAATCTCGACGACAACAAGGACACCTCTTGGTCCTTCGATACCTCCTCCGCCACGATGGTCTGCACCATCCTCACACCGCTCGATCCAACAATCGTCTGATAAACAGACAGATTCTTCCTCCTTTCCCCTTTCAAAACCAGTACATCGTCCTGATCCCCTCCCGCAATTCCCATATGAGCATGCCACTCCACCCCAGCGCCCCTAGGTAGCTCTTCCACCTCGGCGACGAACAACGGGGGAACCATGGCCCGTCTTTTCTCTTTCTTGCTGCTCGTTATACCATTCCCATTGCCTCCAACCTCGTTGGATCCATCTTCATCCAAGACAGTCCAATCTGGCAACTTCTGCCCCTTGGCCTTTTCCCCGTCACCAGCAGCAGCAAAAGACATGTACCGCGTGTTAAACCTGCGATCCCACAGATCAGGACCTGCCTCATCTTCCTCTTCCTCACTATCCCCATCACCCTCATCGTCTCCTCTATCCCGCTTCTTCTTTTCAGACCACATATGCGCAGCCTCCCAAGCCCTACCCGCCAATTGGGCCTTTTCCCCCAAAGCCATCGCCAATGCCCCGCTCTCAACATCATCGTTGTCATCCTCAGACTTGGCAGATTCCTCCTGCTGCCTAGGGAAATAAACAACCGCACTACTCCACCAGCGGACATCAACATCAGCCCCAATCCGCCAAAGATGCTGCAGCGACAAAACAAGCTGGCACCCAAGCGAGTCCGACGACGCAGGAGGCAAAGCCATCGTCGCTGGGACTAGAGGTATTTGTCCAGCTATACTGACGAGCCTCAGTCCGTCCCCAGAGTCTGTTGTTGAAGAGGACCCCAAACTCGCCAACGGAAAGGAAATAGCCTGACTGTACGGTCCTATATTCGCTGGCGCCCAGTATGACCTCGACTGAACATGAAGACCCTGTCTTTGGCTTGGATCTTGTTTCAAATTGGTATGAACGGCCAGGGCGATGGATATCTTTGCGTCCCGAGGCAAAAGAGAGTCCCCGCACGAGATGGTGACTCGGGATGGAGGATTTGGCGCGTTGAACAATGATCCGTAGATGGCGTTTATAGATGGGAAATCGGCCATTTGGCGGAGGACGATTGTCGAGTTGATTATCGCTGTGGGAGTGAGTTTGTGCTGTTGCAGACGTTGGCGGATCTGGGTTACTATTGAGGTTGTCTGTTCTTTGATAGAGGACGACGGTGAGCCGGACATGAAGAACCATTGTTGGAGTTTTTCATCTTTGGGTTCTTGTTGATTGCCTAAATTTGGCAAGTCATGCTCTCCAAATTGTTGCTGATCTACTTGAACATGCTCGGCGGCCGGTTTGTCGGTGTCGTTGAAGGTGGACAAGCCATCTAGCACATTGACAAACCTATCATGCAGGAGATCTGGAATCCTGACTGTGCGGTGTGTATTCTTCGCAGCGTCATGTCCAAGACTTCCTTCCTCTTTGTCTTGTACGCGAGCACCTCGGAGACTCAACCAGGCGGTCCCGCCGCCCTCGTTGATGACCCGCCGGCCCTTCTCATCAACCACGATATGTTTCTTGAACAACTCCGGAGGCCCATCCAGCACGAGGGTTTCAAATTCCCCGCCTTCTCCAATGACAGCCCCCTTTTCAGCCGTCCCAAAGCGGCTCATGGCTCGAGCAACTTTCTCCTTGCCGTCTGCACTGGCGACGTTGGTCCATAGGAACGACTCGTCCAGCCCGCCGCTGGCAACTTTTATGATACGGGCTTCCAAGCCCACAGCTGCCATGTCGTCTAGCAGCTGGGCATCAGACCCTGCCGCTGATCCTCCTCCTAAAGACCCAGGCTGTATGGGAACAGGAAGGGTAGGAAACTTCCACAAATAAGCAAGGGGTACCAGCCCCAACCGGGTTGCCACGGATTCCACGCGTGTGCGCTGGTATGTGCTCAGGATAGCACCGGCACAGATGGCATTGGCCTCGGGGTGTGCCGCCTTGATAGCCTCGAGGAGGGGAATCATGGACTCTGTCTCATCCTCAGACGATGAGCCGCCAGGAGAGTAATCCTTGCCATGCTGGCCAGCATCGCCCTCGATGGCCTTCCGATAGAGCGGGATCCCCGTTGCCTCGGCGTAGAGAGGGATTACTTGGTGGCCCACGGTTTGGTACATGAAGCTGTTGAGATCTTCTTCTTCTTTTTCCTCTGTCTCGGTTGCAGCGGTCGAGTCTTGGACCGTACCCGACCCCGTTCCCGCTGGGGAACCTCCGGCTCGTCCTGGGCCGTGCCCGTGCCCGTGACCGTGGCCATGGCCCTGGGCCTCGCCTGGGAGTAACACCGTGACAGCGGTACCTTCATCGACAGGGGCCTCTTCTCCGGCCGCAGCCCTGGCCCCTGCAACGCTGGTCTCCTCCCGATGGGTCGTCGCCCGAGGAGAACATGTTCTTCCCGCCGGATGCAGATTAGCCAGGGCCACAACCCGATGGCCATTTGCCAGGCAGTGAAGAATCGAAAAGAAGCTGTCTTTGCCTCCAGAGACGAGAGCAATCACGCTCAGGCCTTCTTCACTGGCCGCTGCCGGGGCCACCGACGACGCCATGGTCGACCGTCGACCAAATTCTTTTTCGTTTCGTCAACACCGTCCTCTTGGCAAACGCAGACACTCGGGTACTATTGATTAACCGGTATGGTTATCAGTCCGTGTCCTACCTAGGCTGGGATCCGAATGATGGAATTGGGGGCGGTCGGAGCGCA